TTTTTTTTTTTTTTTGGTCCTCTAGTTCGCCACGTGGCAACAAAAAAGAAAAGACGAGGACCCCGTTGAAATGGGGAGAAACGCGAGGCCCCTCCAGTGTGTGTCATCCCATACGGGTGCGTCCGAACTGTCACTATTATCTCTCACTCTCTCTCTTTCTCCTTTCTCACTCTCAAACATATGTGGGGGAGCGCACATCCACACGTAAACTATACGAAAGCAGCTGCAGCAAGAAGAAGAGGAGCACATGCGTACTTCGACGAACTCTGACACTCGGTCCGAAAGCGGTATATTCAGCAGCTCTCGTTACGGTCGCAGGGGAGTGGACCACAGCAGATACAAGACACGGATGTGCCGCAACTACACAATGGGTGTCCACTGCCCCTTCGGTGAGCGCTGCGCCTTCTCCCATGGCGAGCCTGAAGTGAACCAGATGCGCGTGGAAGAGAACGAACTCCCGCCTCCCCCGCCGTACTCGGAGGCCATCCAGGCAGAAATGGTCCTGCCGCCCGCCTACCCATCACGGTTCCGCCACGACCCGTACAGCTTCGGTGGTATTGCTTTCTTGTACTCACCATGATCTACATTCCGATCGAATGAATAGATCGGTGCTGGGCGATGCTGACTATAGGATATATATATATATTTTTTTTTTGTTTGGAGAGTGTTAGTTCATGATTCACTTTCCAATGCCTCTCTCCTCCCTAATGCTGCATTCCCCTTCATTGCTCCTTTTTTGTTTTGCTCACTCATTCGCTGCCGGTGCTGTTTATTGTGCGTGAACAGCAGTGTGTAACAAACAATGCCGAGTATATACACACCTCTCTCTGATTCCTTGGTTCCACTGTGAGAGTTTTTGCGATTGTTGCTCGTCTTGGAATCATGTAAGATACATTTGCTGTTTTGTTCAGTATGTAGATATCCAAAACAGCCCATGTGTGAGTGCGTATATATATATATATATATATATATATATACATTTCNTATATATACCTTTCTGGAGATGCTCTTTTTTTTTGCACATGCTATACATTCAAAATGCTTGCAACTAAATTTTACCCTTCTGCAGAGACCCCCGCACTTGCTTTCTTCCCATCGCTGGTAGGCAATCGGGAACAAGATCCGGGTAGAATGGTTTGCGGTAGAAACCATCGCTCTGCCCACATGTACCCTTCCGCTTCCGTGAAGGTATCCGGCTACGGCATGAGAATATGGGCGTTCCTTCGTTGTATCTGTCCATGTGGATCAATGAGTTAGTGTCTGCGTGAGTCTCTGTGTTTCAAGTCCTTGTTTTCACTATGATTTCTTTTTCGGTATGTCTCCCTTCATATCGGGAGAGCGTATACAAGTTGTTCTAATATTATATATGTATATATATACACGCTTCTCCCCTTATACCCGTGCTAGTACAATATATAAGTGATACAGTGCTGGAGAGTCATTGCCAATATACAGTTAAGGAGAATGTGGAACTTCTTATACCCACAGAGTAGGGCTCTTTGAAGTATGTCTTCCTTGTTTCTTTTTTTTTTGCTTGGATGTTTTTTTGGTGTTTTTCCTTTTGTGTTCGGTCTTTGTTGTTCTTTGCTTTTTCGTCTATGTCATGGCGTAGTTATCTTCGATGTTCTTTGCTCGGGGATGGTGCATGATTCCTAATTCTTTCTTTTTCGTTTACTTCTTGCTTATCTTCAGCTTTCATCACCACCCTGTGGGATGTGGCGATTCCCCGCTGCTCTTGCTGACGCTCGCCGTTTCTTATACAGTATCACATGCATTCGTCTCTCTCTTTATTTCGGTTTCTTTCCACTTTGCCTTTGTGACTCGTTACTTCAAGTCAGCCACGGCAGACCAAAAAAGCGAAGCACACGTTTTCGACCGCTAGGAACACAGGGCGAGTAAAGAACCATTCCAAGGACCATCACCGTTTCTAGTACTCCCACCACAAGCAACACCCACCACCGACCCCGCCACTTCCTTCACTCCACATCGACAGAAGAAACAGTGGGGCACGAAGAAAGGCAGACGCAACAAAACAAAAAAAGTGACGGTATTTCTTTCCTCAACGCAAGCAACTAAGTACCAAGCGCATACAAAAAGAGGGCACCTCACTAAAAGAAGAGGTACCTTTGCAGCAGTTTTCTTGTAACTGAAGGAAAGTCGTGGACACACGAAAATAAAGCAAAACAAACCACGAATGTCGTTTCAGAACCTGTTTGTGGCGAAGCTTCCCCGGAACCTGAACGATGCAGACCTTGAGCAGATCTTCGCGGAGTACAAACCAATTAGTGCCAAGGTGATGCTGGATGCCTCCACTGGAAAGAGCAAAGGCTTCGGTTTCGTGCTTTTTAACACAGAGGAAGAGGGGAGTAAAGCGTACAAGGAACTTAACCGAAAGAGTACAAAGGCCTGCCGGCACAACTTTAATCTTGTTATTTACCCGTCTCAGCACTCTGGTAAAGCAGCATTTTCGGTATCTAATGCTCTGTATATTCGCAATATTCCTATTACGGTTCCACAAGAGCAGGTGGAGCAGTTCTTGGCGTCTTTCGGCACCCTGACGTACTGCGCGACGCGGGAAGACCACTACGGCAACCCGGTGTGGGTTGTGTACGCCGAGTACGACTGTCTTGAATGCTCCAAGAATGCGCTGCAGAAATTACACGGCCGGAACTGTTATTTCAACTCTAACTCATCCATCATGGCGAAGTATGCAGACAGTGAGGAGACAAAGCAAGAACGCCGCCGCCGTCGCGAGGAAGGTCAGTTGGCCCCCGCCCCGGCGTCTCGCTGCGCCTGCCTGTTTCCCTTACAATCACAGTTCGTATGTTCGTGGCCGGTGTTGCCTGAAGGATCGGCGTCGACTTCATTTGCCGCTACGCCTTCCGTTTCTGCTGAGTTGCCCGTGTGGTCGAACCCCGCAGTCAGCAACAGCAGCCCCGTAGAGAGCAGCAAGAGCAACAGCTTTGGGCCGGATACAAACGACGACGGCCCTCGCAAAAGTCCTGTTATGGTGTACCGCCACAACCCCTACTCGCTTCTCTCCTTCGGGAAGAGTACACCCAATGCCCCGAAGTTCGGCAATCCGGCGATGCCTTCCAAATCATTTTGAGAAATAAGGTAAAATAACACGAGTCCATCTCTCGCTTGTTCTTGCACGCCCGCTCGCTCGCATGGGGCCTGCCTGTACCAATCGGTGGCCACGCACACTGAGGCAGAGAAATCACGGGGTGCAACTAGCTTGATTTGGGAGGGCGGAGCAATGACTTAGGTGATCTGCATTCTGGTGTAGGCATTGCTTTTTGTTTCCTTTTTTTTTTTTTTGGTTTG